TGAAATTTATAAAGCTGTATTTAAACAAAGATAATTTTAAAGCTACTGGACCGGACGGTGTGTCGAAAGAAATTATTAAATCTTCATACAGTGTAATTTCTCCTTTTCTTTTGTCAATCTTTAAAGGGAAAAACAAGGTTAGAATAAAAACTTGATTTCAGAAAACGAATACTATAAATATTAAATCTACAAATTTTCTGCCGCCAAATAATAATATTAAACGAATGATAACGAAATTTAAATCGCTAAATCACCGATTTCTACAAATCAGTAGGCGCGGCCATGTTTGTGTATTGGCCGTAGAAAAAACAGGTGCGCGTGATGTCATTTCCCCACATCTTTAGATTTATGATAAATCTAGTTGAATCGTAGCGAAATATTTATATAATAAAGTCTTAATGTAATTAAACAATATTTCATAGAGTTAATAAATACACATGTTATTATTTAACAAAGTTTCACAATCAAATAATGCAATTCAATAAACAAACGCACCAACGAATAATTGGCTGTTAATTATTGAACGGCGATAATTATCATTATTATAAAAATCCTACTAAAACGTGTTCTAAATAGTACATGTAATTAAATTTCTGCAGTTTGATTCTGACTTTCAAATTAAAAGGTGTGAACATATGTTAGTAGTGATGTATGCATTTCAAAAATATAAGCAACTCTTTTGAAAAGTAAATTGTTAACATGTCTGTCAACGTATGATGCTGCGTGGTATTTATTTACATCGTAATCGTAGCCTAATATTAACTGCAGGCATAACATTTTTATTGGCTGCTCAAAAATCTCATTTGCATAATTTATTCACACAATTGCTGGTTCTTGCTACTTATGTCTAATACTGTGCATTATCCATTTTAATTGTTCCCAATTTGCACCAAATGTTCCTGTCACACTGTGTACTAACGATTTTTATTGCTCCTTGTTATGCCTCTGTGCCGAACAAACCTTTTGATCATGCACAATGTTGCCCTGATTGGTTAATCACACCTTTGTCAAATTTTCTAATGACGAAATAGACTATCTATTTTTTTTACGCTTCATTGACTGAATGACCTTTAGGGGAAATTAAGTTTCCGCACCTGTCAAGTTATTACTGTAAATTACAGCAATTTCATAAAATAGCAACACAGTTTTTTCATTTACCCAATAATTAATTTTAAATATTAAGTAGATTTTATGATTTTTGTTTTATTGGATTAAATTTACAGGTAGTAGAAATGCGTATCTGTGTGGGAAAGGGATTGGGGTAAGTAGATTGGATTGTTTTCATACGATATTTAGTCTAGCTGCCGATTTTCCTGCGCCATTTTATTTTTAGCGTTACAATGTCGGAAAATCGCGTACTCAGCAGATCTCTCTGCATATTGGATTCAGTTTGATATTTTTACGCTGAGAAAAAATAGATACATGTCCGACTATGTACCCTATTCGGACAGCTTGTCTAGCGAAAATTAAGTACAAAATAAAAGGCGATATCGTCAATTTGAAGAAGTTTCTCAAAGTACCCAAAATTAAATTCATGGGGGGTTATCTTTTGAAAACTATAAAGCATTCATTTGCTTAAAAATTCATGTGGTGGGATCATCAGCAACCCTGAAATTATCGGACAAATGATAATTATTTTGCCGCGGCCGTCTTACAATTAATTTTAATTAAAGCCCAAAACAGCTTCCATATGATGTTTTAATAAAATAATAAATAATGTACGCGCAATAAGATTAATTAAGTTTCTTCATCAAGATATATTTCAGGTACCAGCGTGTACACCTTTACCGGAAGTGGGTATTTAAACACGTCACAATCCCAAAAGGTCTCGTTCTGTTCTCGCGAGAAATGACAGAACGCCAAAATGGGCGGCGCCCATGAACTTAATTTTCTCAAGTAAAAATAGTGTCTTAAAACACGAATTTCTCACTTATAGGGTTGATGTCAACAAATAAACTGTCATGGTACCTCTTTTTAAATGATGAATATTTATATTAGACAGACATCAATCCATCCATTCCTATTCCTTTAACCAAATAATTGAAAATAGACAATACCTGGTTTTTGAGGAAGAAGAAAATATTTTTCCAATATTTAATGGGGGCGACCCGATAGTAGCTAAAAATTACCGGGGTATAACACTTTACAATATTTTATCTTAAATTTATTCTCTGGCACTACTTAATCGGCTCACAATATGGACTGAAAATACGAAAAAGTTGTAAATAGTCATTTTTTTTCCATAATTTCAAAAGTCTTATATTCGGGTAAAAAACTGTACTCCATATTTATTGATTATGAAAAATGTTTCGCTAAAATTAATCGTTCTTTCTTTTGGCAAAAACATATAACAGAAAATGTAAGTACTAAAATGGTAAAAGCTATAAAAACAATGTATTAAATATAATGGGGTAGTGCATGATGATGTTATAAACTCTCATCAGGGCGTTAAGCAGGGAGACCCCAGCTCTTCTCTATCATATATGATGTTCGTAAATGATCTAATGAGTAATTTAAATGCAGACCTTGATGGAACTTTCACTTTAAATGAGCTCTGTTTATGATTTTATATGCTGATGACCAAATATTATTTGCTACAAATCTCACACCTTACAAAGCATGCTTATAGACATCGAAATATACTATAATACTGTTGGACTAAAAATAATATTGATTAAACCAAAGTTATGATTTTCGACCTACAAATTTTATTTTCCATCTTTATGGCGAAAAACTTGAAATAGTAACGCCTTTTAAATATTTGGAATTATACTTTTTTAAAAAATGGACATTGGTCAAGAACACAAAAGCATAGCAGAACATGCATCGAAATCGCTTTATAGACTGTTTGCTATTCTTCATCGATATTAATTTAAAGCTAGTGAGAAATGTAAATTATTTGATTCATTAGAAGCATCAATTCTAAATTATTGTTCGGTTGTATGGGGAAATATCAAGGGAAGTGATATTGAAACTATCCACAAAAAAATTTTGCAGAAACATCCTAGTTGTTAATGCCTCAACAAATTTGACAGGACTATATGGAGAACTTGGTAGAGAATAAATGAAAATTTTAAGACAAATAAACATGATTAAGCATTGGTTAAAATTAAAAAATTAGAAGACAAAAAATTAATAAAACAAATGTATGATATGCTAAAAACTAGATGCAGAAAACAAAATGTTAAGATCAGGAGAAATTTAGATCCTCTTGTCATGCATTGATATAAAATATACTCGTATTTAAGATTTTATATAACCTGTCCATGTTCATTTTTACTTTAATAAATCTGTCTTACAAAGGGATAATAGAACGTTAAATATAATTAGTAATGGGTGTGTATTTTTCAAAATGCTTTATCGATTTTGCAAACTACTACAGTACTATGTTAACATTAGACCCGCTTCTTTACTGTCCTTGATTTCAGCTTCAGTTTCAAGTATATATTACAAAAAATCAGATGGAAATGTCAATTAATATTTTTCATTAAGATAAGGGGTTGTTCAAGTTTCTAATTGATTACGGTTAAAATACTAGAAGCCACGTCAATAGGAGTAGAAAAGCCAAGAAATTGACAAGTCATTTAAACAGCGTAAGTGATCATGAAGCGAAAGGGTTAAAGTTTCGGGTTAGAGTTTCTTACTTGTATATAATAGTTACTTCCATTTGTTTTACCAAAAACAACAACAACAAAAAAAGAAACACTTAGAGACAGTGACGGTGAATAAAAACACCTTTTGATAAAAAGTTTGATTGATAAGAGTTTATCAAACTTTTATATGATATTTTTACATTTTTACATTATTATAATGTTGTAAATATTGGAAATATATTTAAAAAGTCCTCCTTTAATGTTATATTAAATCCCAGTTACGAAATTTAGTTTAAGCAATTAAGCAGAATGAATATTTTTTCTGTGTTGTATTTTGGGAATATTCATCTACTGATATTATCAAATAGTTATATATTTTCTAACACAATCATATTACACATTTTGAAATAATACATGTATTTTTCAGATAATTATCAAACTTTGTACTTGCTGTTTATATCATTAACACAGAACAGAAACCCTAAAGAATGCCCAAAACGACAAAATTGAAAATACTGCAGACTTGGTTTGATTCAGTCTGTTCATGAACGGTACTTGAAAATGCAAGTTGTCGTCCACGCCCCCTATCGCCGTCTTAAGCAGAATTCAACATTTAAACACGAAAATGGTGCTAGAGGGCGTGGATAGTAACATTCCCTTTAATTCCAGTTCCGTGCATGAACAGGCTCAATTAAACCGAGCCTGTAACATTTTCAATATTGTCGTTTTGAGCGGTTTTAGGGACTCCGTTTTTCTCTATTTCAAAACCCAAAAAACAGACTTTGCTCATCTTGTAAAGATTACACCATCTGTCTTTCCTTTTGTAAAGGTCATATTATATAACTACATGTCTGTATGATCTTAGAGATGACTATTACATGGTTATCAGCGAGGGCTTTTTAATAATAGTTAGGGATTAACTATTAATAATCCGTATTGTAATTATTTAAGAGCGGAAATGGTATTAAAATTATCAGTATACCTAGTGGCATGTATTTATAACTCACAGAAGATGTCCAAAGTATATAATCAAAAAGCTGATATATATGCTATCTTATATATCTGATATATATGCAAACTTTTATAATGCAGGGTATACTCTCTTATAACAATTTGAAATAAATCATATGTCTTATCTTGTGTTTCAATACACTGTTTTTTTTACAAATACTGTATAATATGCACGTTTAAAGGTTACTTTTTTTTATTAAACATCAGCTTATGTTTATATTGCTGATGTAACGAGGAAAATAAGGGAGAAGTTTACACAAAATTGAAAAAAACAAAACAAAAACAAAATCAGAATTAAACGCTTTATGGAAGTATGAAACGAACAATTTTCAAGTTTTATACCCATTCAAACAAATCAGTCAAGTATATTGATGTATATGTATTTTCCAAATTTTAAACATATTGATCTAAATATACTTTCTTTATCTATTGCATACATGTTGCAACGAGGGGCATGATTATACATTAAAAAAATCTTTATCTTTTCATTGATAACACTGTCCTTGCCACGTATGATTGTATAACTGCGCGTTCATTTGATGAAAGGTTACAGAAAAGGAGTGATTGTGTTTTATGTAAAAATGGATTTCATATTATTTAAAGTAAATTTTGGTATGTGGTTCCAGCCGTGTACGTTTAACAATGTTGATCGCAAGGTAAAGTTCCGTAAAGTAACATTTTGTATAGTTTAATACGTCATGTTGTTTGGAAACAGAGGGTGTTTTTTTAGCGACCATGTTAAAATTATCTTTACACTGGTTAAACAATCGTTTTTAATTACATATGATTTTAAATACAATAATTATTATTGTACGGTAAATTTTTTTCAAGGTATATTTAAGTAGGAAAGGAATCTTATCTGTCAGGTTATATATAAAATAGAATGTCAGCCATAACCGGAAGCGACGTAAAAAGGTCAAGGTTTTTTCACATCTCATCTTCAAAACGAGACACACTCTTGATCTATTACAAGCTGACAACATTTTCGCGAAATCTGAAAATCAGTTTGTTGGAATGTCAGGTAAAAAAATTAAAATATCTGAAAGATTAATTTTTTTCCATTTATTTTGTCAGCAGCCGTGTAAAGAATTGAAACAATATAGAATGCAACATTTATTATTCTTTTGTTACAGTTGAAATTAGATTTTAGTTGCGGCGAAATTTAAACATGTTTTCTTGCGTTATTATTGTATTTCCTCTGCTTTTGCAGTAAGATATCAAATCAAAATATCTCATTCCTTTAGCTTGATCTCAGTTTGATAATAACATATATTACATACCCTTAAGTCGGCTGCATGTGTAGTGACTTCAGTTCTTTCATTTATCGACGACCTTTACACTTATTAGTTTATGTTTAGAGGGAGACAGAGAGACAGAGAGAGAGAGAGAGTCCCTAAAGAATGCAAAAAACGGCAATATTGAAAAATATTGCCGCATCAGTTTGATTGAGCCTGATATGGACGGTACTGAAAGTTACTGTCCACGTCCTCAAGCATCGGCTCATTTAAACATGAAAGTGGTGAAACTTAAAATTCCAAAACATCCGCATATGTGTTAATATGTGAATTATCATGGAGCCTTCGATGAGAAACTTAGGTGCCATTCCATGAAAAGTGGCGTATGGTCCCCAAATAAAAAGAAGGGCCCTGAACGAGAAAACAAAGGGGAACAGATGTTATAAAGATTGCATATCACAAATAAGACGTCAAAAGTAAAAAATGATTGAATTTGACATCGATATTTCATTTTGAGATATTTTTTAGCGAGAACATTGGTTTATGATTTAAATATTTTTACTTAAAAAGAAACATACCAATGTCAATGCATGGTATGTATTTGAACTGTATTTAAACATACAACGTATCACACAAAAATCTTTGCTTGCCAACTGGAGTTTTCATTTAATTTCGTACCAAGAATTGCGTTAAGGCTAAATCATGTCTTCATATATTGTAACAAATTAATCTAAAAACAAATGATATTTTACCATTTGACATGGAAATCTAATTTTCATTATGATAGTAAAATCAAATTTTATTTACTACAGGAATTAATGTTCAAAGATTACAGAATAGCCAAATCGAATATTTTGCCTACATATTAAAATACAAAAAATACCTTTCACAAGTTTGATCTATTGAAATATTTTCGTTCATCTGGAGGCATGCTGCTTTAAAATACTTTATTAAGATTACTGTTATCTTTATTTCCTCTATAACTGAAGAGCATTTACATAACATTGAATATAATGTGCACCTTAAAGTTCGTACAAATACATACAGTTCATATATACAGTATATATAATTACAAAATATATATGTGTAATATAAAGGAGTAAAGAAAAGGCGCATTTATAATATGTACATTTACTCATATTGAAAGATAAGTTATTCATTAATCTGTGATACATATATCTATCAACAATTATTGTCAATTGAAAAAAAATGGAATAAATGAAAATTTAAAGCTACTTATAGATACATAGAATAAATAATACGTTCATAGTGAACTCTAGATTAATTTTTACGAGATATATCAAGAGCTTCAGGATTGAGCTTTTTTAATGTAACAAAATCACTTAAGTGAAGGCAGGAATAAAATCCAAATCATTTAAGTAGTTTAAAGTTACAATAATTTCAATTTTGAGAATAGAAGATAAGTAAGTTTGGGAAAAATAACTTTTATAACATATATATGACTAAGTAATTAACCTTAACCGAAACAAAATTATTAAGGCGAATAAGATGTGTTTAAATTTAAGGTACGGTCAGTTGTTTTTTTTATATAAATATAAAGTGACTATCTATAATCTATATCTGGTAAGTAAATCAAGCAATTGGAAAAAAGAGGAATTCAAATGAAAACACTTGTATGATAACCTTAAACCGAACATAAAGGCGTTTAAAGTGTGTAATGATATCACAAAAATGTACATTTTATAATAGAAAAATTATTAAAAGAAAATAATTTATAAAAAATATGTAACATTCAGTATTGAATCTTTATGTTCACATTCATAACTCGATTTAACTTAATGTAATGAAGTTTTTCGCAATTATAAACAACCTTATAACATGATACTCTCATGCCAAGTAAATAATCTAAACAAATCTAGAAATGATTTAACATTTAATATCCAATATGTATGGTAGAAAACTGGACATTATGCCTATTTTTACAGATATTTACACTTTTTTTGCTAATATAGAATCACATCTTGCATAATAAAAACGATGAATATTTTGTTTATTTTTTGTTGTTAAAATTTGATTTATCAAAAATTGAATTAATGTTTTTACATATCTATTTCACATTTGTATTTAAATTTCATTGGAAATGGAACAATAAATATGTACACATTGAGTAAGACTCAATCAAACCGAGCATGCAGCATTTTATATTTTGCTGTTCTGGGCGTTCTTAAAATATTCTATTTTCTATATTTTACTTGTTTCATCATTCGTCGTCACAGATGTCGAACTTTCGAACTTGACACAATATTGACAATGTTCACACCTCCCAATCTGTTTTCCTCATATTTTGTTTAGTACTTTTTATTATTCAATTATTATACAATAAAATTCCCGTGCTCTTGCGAAGTGAGCTCTATTTCTTTCCTGGCGACTTTGTTTCGATGAAAACAAAACGATTCAAAACAAACGAAAATGCTTACTAACTTACAATTATTATTATGATACTTAAATTTCAGGCGAACCAGCAAACAGCTTGGCAGCTTCTCAGACCATAAATCATGGACTCAGATCAGGTAAGCTTGTCCAATCCTTCATAACATATAAAACGTCTACGACAAGCTTTAAGTAAAATCACTAGTTGCTTTGAAATCAACGTACTCTTGGTGTTTAAAAGGGATAACACTGAGGTTTCTTTTAACTTGACGAGGCCGGAAATAATTTTTCGAGATTAATGTTCCATTTGATGATAACGTGTGTGCAAAATTTCAGACCATTCGCTCCCTTTTTGCAGAATAAGTATTTTTTGTGAACAATGGCTCAAAATTGAAAAGCGGTGCAACGGACTAGAAAGAGCACAAAAGTAGTACAATATTCTATGTAAAATTCAGATTTATTGATGTTAGGCTATTGGACTTCAGTGGAGTTCCTTTATGATGGGAGTAGCAGGCATATTTGAAAAATATATTTGAAAATGTACTGTATGTATTAAAGCAGCACGCCTTCTTATTGCTATTTTTTATGAAATTTTTTAAAATGTATTTAAAAATATAATTTTGTGAAGTAACTAAAAGGAAGCAATTATCAATGATAATTGCAACCCGCGTAAACTACCAGTAACAGCTCAAAATGTGCAAAATAGCTCTTACTGCGTTAGTTACGCAGTAGAAATATGGTGAAATATACTGAAAAATCAGTCATTAATCACACATAACATGAAAGTTGTTACTTTTCGTAAAGTTGTATTACATTTTTCTCAAATTTGATTTTCGAAATATATTTTGGCTCATCTGGAGGCATGTAGCTTTAATATGTCATAAGTGCAGTGAATTTTACATCTCTGTCAAACGGGGGATACACTAAGAAACAGAAAAACAGTCTGAATGGTACGGAAGCCCATTGTGAGGCCATTTTGAGTTAGGATTAAGACGACCAAAATTCGAAAGAAAATGTTAGATCTTAGAATTTAGGTCATATATCTTAGACAATAGATATTCCGTAAAACACCATATTGGTCCCGAAGGAACTAATGAACGCTAAGTACGCCGATTATTTCGGCAAAAATATGTCTGGAAAGGTCTTAAATATACAACAAGTTAAAGCCATCCACAGAGCTATTGACGGGTACGGTCGACTCATTGTATGGCTCGAAGTATCAAACAGCAACATGCCCGCAGTGATAGCATCATACTACCTCGATATATTAAACACGTTAGGCATGGTAAGAGCGTAGCAAATCCAAGTTTGGATAACTTCGTAGACAAGGGGTTTACTGGTGGATTCCAAAAGTCAAGGATCATGTTGATTTGAACGTTTAAGATGTAACAAATCGTGTACACATTGAATGCCTTAGATATTGTTTTATAGATTTGATCAAAGCGGAACTCGACATGATAGCCCACCAGTGGAAAACTCACAATATTCGATCCCAAATGAATTTTGAAATACCTTACGGAAGACCTGATGTATTTTTTTGTACCTTAATCTATGATGGACAAAACTTTGGTCATCATGTTAATCAAAACGTACAGATATGCCAGGAACTTTATGGATCAACTAAATGGCTATATTCTTATGAATCTGAGTAACTCGCCCAAGTGTTGTAGTTGTATAACAGATGACCTTTGATCGCCCACGAATCCTTAACATTGCTTTTTTTAAGTTTTGCAGATGATTGATGAACATGTAATTGCTTTGGTTTCGTGATGGCATAACACGTATCATAACATATAATTTTAACACAAATTTTAACACAAACATCATGTGATTTCTGATCCTTCAACCTGTTTGTCTTAGTCGAAAATAATATCATTTTGTACTAAATGATGACAGGAATCATGTTAGAAAACTTATTGAACTGTTTCCAGGAAACTGTTTATGAGAAAGTTGTGATGTAATCAGAATCTTTATAAATGACCCGACAAAATTGTTTATATTCTATATCAGATGACATACTTATAGAGGTGTGCACTTTGCATCAATGTTCAATCCTCACGTGTTTCCATCTGTACCAGGTCAAGATCACAGTGGCCAATTAAATTAAAGATAACCATTGCCTTAACTTGAAAGACATGCTCTTCTGTATTAATAGCGGATGAAATTATCAGGGGTTTGATAATAATTGGGGTCAAATATATATCATGATGACCTCAATCAGTATCTAACCTCTGGTAACAAGTACATTTGGAAGATATGCAATTCTATAGTTATCAGCGGTTGGATACTGAAATAACTGTTTACTTTTATTTACAAAGGATTTGTCCTATATAGTATTGAAATAGTTTGCCATTTCCTACAATTTATTAAGGCGACAAAGGGGCATAATTCTGCACAAATGCTTGATATGACCTATTCTTGGCTAAAAATTGGGGCCATCAGTATATACATAATGAATCGTATTACTGAGTAAGCACATTAGAATCTTAGACATGAAGTATATGGTCATCATTTTGGAAAGTGTGCAAGAATCCATTGCGATTTAATTAAAATGCATACCATTATTGTGGCTATAGTTGCATGTTCCCTTAAATGTCAATGAAAAGGAAGTAAATTACAGATTGCAAAAGTATTTTTAGTTATGCAGTAAGTTATTTTTGTGTGTCAGCTTTTTGTCAAATACATGTCAGCATCAGAAGATCCATGTCAACAGATTTTCATGCGATACATCTGCACTGGCGACTGCCTTTCAAAACAGTCAGAACGTGAGTTTAACTATACGAGCCAACAGGCGTAACAATGCTGAGCAGATAAAATTGAAGTACTCGTATAAGCAAGCGGAGACCTTCTCTCGATCGACCGAAATAAAGAGCTTCAAACAGGTGTTCCAAAGTGGACACGTGGTAGTTAAGGACCTACATAGTGACCTTAACGTGGCAAGAATATCTTAAAATTTAGTTACAAGAACTTAATTCATAGAACTTAGACATAAGAAGTTAGACATTAGATTTTAAAACATTAAAATTTAGATACTAGTAATTAGAACTAAGACATTAGAATTTAGGTAATAGATCTTAGACATTAGAACTAAAATATCTGTTTTGAAAGAGCTTAGAGAAGAAAAGGTAACTCCATTCTCATGCATAAAACTTTATTAAAGTACTAGTAATAGACAAGAAAACATGAAACAAGACACTTATCTCATTAATCACTTAAAGTTACATTAAATAAATATGCAAAAAATATTTTGCAGTCGGCCTAAAAACCAAGCATTATACAGTTTCATTAACCTTTTCAACAGTATTGTTGTAATTCTCATCAAACATTGTTCATAAATTAGGATTATAAACGGGAAACCCCACGGTATCACTAAAGTTCGTATACGAATTTTAACATGCAAATGAAGACTATAATCAGTTCGTGTATGTGCTACGTCACGGTGTTATAGTTGCTATACAGAACACGGCAAATATGAGATTTTCACGTGCAAACACACTTTGACCGTTTTAGTTTCACGGTACACTTGTAATCATCTGATAAAAATATTACATTTCTATGAAAACATTCGTTACAATGATGCAGAAATAAACCGTTATATTAGGACTGCTACTTATCGCCATGTTTGTTGATTTAATATTGATGTACGGATAATCCGAAGGCGGAGTTTCTTATGCAAACAGAAATTGTACTTTCGATTTCGGCACAATGAGGTCTCATATATGGATGCTTATAAAACTCAATTTGGTTGTCTCGACACCATAATAAGATCTGGAGTCGATATGAAACCCAATGGACTAAGGAAATGTCGCTATTTCTGTTTTTATGAAATTTATTTAATGTAGCTTTAAATGAATATCACACTCTCTATAGTCTGATTTTATTGACCTGTCAATTTTGAATACATTATAGCACTCATTTAAATATTCGATTTCACTTCGGTTCTGTCCGTGTAGTTTACGAGAATTAATATGGAGTAAAAAATTAATGTTTTGAAAAGTCACACCAGCTTAATGCATAAGGGTTGTCAAATCGGCGATAGCACAGACGGTAGAGTGATTGTCTAATATACTGGGGGTCTTTAGTTCGATCCATACTTTTGTCGTTGTTTTTAGGCCTACTCTTTTTTTTATTTTTGCAGTAATATTTTTATGAAAAATGGCCGAGTGCTTCCAATATTGTCTACACATATATGAATCAACTAAGAAATATTGTCTCAATTTGTATTGTGTTTAACGCCATTGAAACGACATTTTCTAATTTTAATCCGAATTCATTATAAATTTTAATTATGAAAGCATGTTATTTAAAAGGAGTTTAATTGCTAAACATATTAAATCAAAACGAACAACATAACAAGCAATTATAGTTCCGATAATGTTGAAAATAGTTATAAGAAGAAGAAAAAAAACCATTGGAGGTACGCGGTCTCGATCTCACAACACGTAATTAAGACACTTAGAAATCATTAACCTGTAGTTTACCCTATTTCGCTATACCGCACATTATAATTGCTCCATAGGCACAAATTATATTTAATCAAATCTCACTGAGTACATCTCACGGAAATTACCGAAAACTTTTCGAAGATTAATATATTGTGTGCATTGACCGTGTAATTAGTATGGAATTGACAGGTTAATAAAACAAAACAATACAAGAACTTGTCGATTGCATATCCCCGTGCCGCACTCCGAAAGTAGTTAATACTTAACCTTTTACTACTGTTTATATCATATTTATGGTAAACATCAATGTTATCTGTAGGTCAAGTCAAGATACACTATTCATAGATAACATTCACAGATAAAGAAAAGAAGTGATTATTATCTCAAGAATACCATGAGCCAGAAAAGGTCAAGACATAGGTCAAAATATAGTAAAATTCCATAACATCTATGAAGGTAATGTGTGAATATAAGCCAAAACAGTTCATGCAATACTCAATTTTGGTAAATTTAATAAATAAATATTATTTAAGATCACAGACTTTTGTACGTAAAAAGGTTATATATTAACAGTTAAGTAAATAGTTAAAGTAGCCAAGACTTGTTACGAAAAGGGCTTATAGCTAGTAATTCTCATAAAAATATTCATGGTAAAGGCCAAAAAGTTAAAATGTCAAAAGGAAGTTCCAACCACTAGGATGTGTGAATATAAACCAAAGGGTAATGTAACATACGTTTATGTTTAAATTATTATATTAAAATGTGGTATATTTTGAACTGAAATGCAAATTACAATACCTTTTGCTCAGATCCGCTTTGTGTTCATTAGTCCGTTCGGGATTGATTTATCGCATAAGCCTCATTACAGAATTTCTAGATTCTACAAGTCGGAAGTCACTCATACACATTTGCCACATCGATCGATAACTTACAAACTTGACACTCCTCTGCATTTCTACAATAATGTGGTCCCATACTTCGTTCTCAGGTGCACGTACAAATATTGCGTCGGAAAAGATTGTTAGCTTTCAGTATAAATTGTCACAAGCTTACTTTAATATTATGGCCAATATTTAATAACAATATAATATCCTTTAATGATAATTTTTGAAAAAACTAATTCTTAATCAGTTCTAGTCTTGATGTTGAATGCGCCCCTCTGAGAATAACAGCTAAATTTGTGATCACAACACTAGACACTGGTGTAAAAATAACAAGCTTAATTCAAAATATCCATGCCCATCTAGTGACCATTTTCGTCGTCCGGAGAAGGAATACAGAAGATTCTGTAATAGGAAAAATAATAGAATTATCTTTATTCACATTGAAAAAACAACGGCATCAATAATAAACTGACTGTTACACAATTCTAAATACTGTTCCAAAGTTGACAATAGGGGCATTACACAAAGACAGGCAACAGTATTGACACTTTTGTCCCTTATCGTATATCTTTTATGTAGCAATGTTTGGCTAAAATAGCTAAAAATTGCTAAAACTCAACTTATGGAGTTTCTCAAAGCCTGTTGAAGATAGCTTGGTCTATTTTTGCTTTTTTCACTAAGCCTTTTTTGTTGTACAGTTACAATCACCTAATCTTTTAACATACTAGCTATATCTCTGCAATTCTTAAAAATAAAAAAATAAAAATTCAAGAAATATGATAAGAAGTTTATCTTACATGTTCATGTCTATCTTGCAGTCAATATGGCGTTTTTCCTCCTTTACGAAACCTCTAAATTCTAAGAGCTAAGATTTAAGTTTTAAGATCTAAGTTCTAAGATCGAACATGTTAGTTCAAATTGTTGCCTTAGATGCCTACGATGTTTATGTTATAATTAGATATTTGTCTTTATGATTTTTGGCATTATTTGTTGAAATAAAGATTTCGATAATCTTTTATCTTTACATCTTCAAATATGTCATGGTTTAATTTCTAAACGAACACTAAGTACGCTCTTTGTTGTTCAGTTATGTACTACGATTTTAAAGTTGATATAAAAGTAACAGGTATACTGAATAGGCATATCTTTTAAAAGCGCGCGAAAATGTTGGATGCTATACCTTGCGATAACGTTATCTCGCACTTAACATAAGGTAAAATTGCTTGCATATTTATGTGTTCACTGCTAAAGATCGGATCAAATTATTGGAAATAATGTCAAGTAAGTAACTTTAAAATCTGGAATTGTTTAACATTTAATGTTCAATAATATTAAAATTCTTTAAAGAATAAAATAATTTTGCGTTTCGCAATAAGTCGCGTCTTTAATATTTGTTGGTATCTGGAAGAACGTAAGGTTTACACGATTTAAACTTTTAAAAAGGTTTTTTTACTACTTCTTGAAGTAACGAGTAAGTACCAATATAACGAAACCTTATGACTTAACAATTTAAAAGTATATACCAGCTGCGACACCGCAATGTATAGCATCCAACATTTTCGCGCGCTTTTAAAAGATATGCTCATTCAGGGCAGGGTCTTTCAAATAGAAATATTTTTCAAATCTTTCTGTTTGAAAGACCTTGTTCAGTGTCAGGTATTTCAACTTCTTATTCGGTTTTAAAACAGTACATAAAAAGTTACGAACACATGATAGAAACAGATGGCATGAATATTTTGTTTGTTTGGCAATCCGTCCTCCGGTAGTTGTCTTCACAAATAAGAATATTGCCAATATCTTATTTCTCAACAACGCATTTCAAACACTTTGCATTTATTCTTATGAAAATTATGGAAATAGAAAATAAAACGTAACTGGGTTATATGTAAAATCATGACAATATATATCTTTTAGTTTCAGAACAGCAAGCGGAGAATGTGGCAGCTTCCGTAAACATTAATGAAGCTCTCGAATTAGGTAAGCTTGTCAAATACAAATGTACTTAATAGCACTAAATACAAACTATTATCTCTTATTTATTGTTTTTGGACCAACGCTTAATAAGTAAAAGGATTGTTATGCAAACCAACTATGCCCTGTTTTAAGCTGGACAATTTTTTTCATTTTCATGTATACTTCATCATTCATAACTTGCATTACAAATTAAATGCCAAAAATGCAGGTCGTATATAGTTTTTAAAATACTAAAAGGTATATAAAGGAATTACTTAAGTGTAACTGAAATTTATATCTACCATTTTTAAACTTAAATACAATATATATGTCACTTTTGCTTTATCAGAGTTTCATGTTAATTTGATTTGTTTTATCATTTTTTGATATGGGTGCATGTTAAATGACACAAAAACGAGGTCAATCAAAAATCAAAAATGGTCATATCTTTGTTTGCTATATTCTGAAGTGCAATTTTATCAGATTCTATGTATAAAATAAATTTCTTACTACTATCAAATGAAAATAAAGGGTAGGCCTAATATTACCATGATAACATCATAAAACTCAGCACGTATGAAAACTACCAACCCCAACACCTGTGACAGAAATATTTAATCATCGGTATGTAATTCAGAATAAGATCCGCTTCAGATTCAATACTACATTTGCAGTTTTGTATATGTTTCATCATCTTTTGATAGTTTGTTCTCAATCAGTTTATGCATGGGTTCAATGTGGCCATACCACGTGACTTTTCGGGTACGGAACACGCCGATTTTTCACCCGATTCAGGTATGTTTTTTATTCACAACTTATTTATTACTCAACCGATTTTGATCAGATAAGGCGCAAAGTACCCGTAATAATATCAGCTATCCACGGTATATCAAAATTCTGAAACCCCTGAATGGTTTTTGAGAACATTCGAGTACAGTTTTATTTTCATAGCCTGGGCTGAGGGGAACGGTACACACTCATTTGTCATAACAAACAATTTCTAGCAAATCATATGTTTTTTGGCACTATTTCATAGAAAAATACATGTTAAATCTGATATATTTACTATGTCCAATGTATCGAGTGAATGCAGTTATGTTTAAGCATATTTTCATAAAGTTATGTTGAAATGGTACGGAACACACTGTTATTTCAAAAGATACGGTACACATACAATTTCTGTCTTTGTAATAATTCTAAAATAGAATATATTAAAATTTAATTTCAATTATAATGTGAGTGATTTTTTTCATAGTTATACATTTTATTAATTTAAACGAGAACCCAGGGACCTGTTTTGCAATGTATCATAATGCTTACTTTTAATATTTATATGTATTTGTGCACTTTATTTCAAGAGATCACGCTTAACATTTACAACCTCCATGTATTTGTCCTATTTAAAATCACCTAGGGTATGTTAAACACTTCGATCTTCACAGAATCAGGTAGTTGCGCTCTATAGAAAGAAAATGTTGTTATATAGTGATGTGTTTATTGTTGTTTATTGTTGTTTTTTATTTCTTTTAGTTTAAGTAAAGTAGGATGTGTATTTTTGCTTCACCCTGAAAAAAATAAAACAAGGTCATGACCTAAATCGCTGAAAAGTATCATTACTTGATAACAATTTATATATATTTATATTTTGTTAATAATAAGCAAGTCATTAAGTACAATTTAGCAATATCATGGTCATGTTTAATTAAATCAAATCACAAAAGGCGCTGAATTTGTTTGGGTCTCAGAATGTCAGAAAGGTGAAGGCTGTGAGATTGTAAACCAATTTGTTTTTGTATAGTGCCACCAATGTTGTTTCTAGTGTCATAACTGTAGGAAATTGGCTATAAGGCTTATTGCAACACTGATATGTAATTCATTGTTTATTTGGCTTAAACAATTAAAAAAAAAAACAACAAAAAAAAACATGAGTTGCCTTAACTTGGATTTGAACTCAGGACATCTCTCTTCCTTAACGCGCGCGTTACCCCTCGACCACGGGGAAGTTATAAGATAACAGCCTGAAGAAAACCATATCATTCTAAATTAGGGTTTGTAACCCTTATTAATTTCGTTTGACACTGATGTAAATAATCATGGAGCTTCATATTACATGTATATCTGTAAAGAATTACACAATATTTGAAATATTTGACCAATCGGGAACTACTTTTTCTTCTCCCGAGAAGGCTTGAAAATTAATGCGCCCGTCATTTGACAATTTTAACACAGTGATCCCCCCTTATTTTTTTCAGCGTTAAAGTACATATAAAGGTAAGTAACCGCTTCCAGGGATTCTACTTTCGGACTACTTTCTTATTCTGCAAATAAGCATATCAGAGCCTGAAATTTCGCTACCATTATTTGTTTGGTCTGACGACCCAACAAATAAAAATGTAGTCGACATTGCTTAAATTTTTAATGTTTAAAGGCATGAAGCTTTGAAAATAACTTTTAGTTCATGTAATTAGGTCATTTTTGGTTTGGTTTCACGGCTCATAAAACTGACATTATCATGTGGCGAGACTGGCGACTTTCAAGTTTTACAAGTGCCCCTTGGGTACAAATAAAGGAACGAACGGGCTCCTGAGTAAAACGACCGACATTCTGTACGGTAATAAGAAAACTTTCTCACATAAAAAATCAAAACATCTAAGTCACTTGTGGTCTCGTACCTACTTCATGTAGTATATAAAACAGAACGCAGTCTCCAAAATCCATAGCATTTGATTGACAAAATGGGTATTATTAAAATATCATTTTATTTTTAACACAAACATGCAAGCACACATATCCATGAACTCAAGTGTTAAATGCATCTTGAAATGAAAGTCCAAGATAGGCATAATTTTACTAAATTTCCTATCATGTATATCCTTACATGTATATGTAACAAGGTTACCTTGTATAAACTACGTGACGATATATAACAGGTCTTGTTCCCATATGGGTTCTTCAAATTATCAAATTTGATTACACGTAAAACTGCGAAATATATTTGTCCATATGTAGATAATTTGATAATTTAGATACATGCAGTTAGTTTTGGACCCTGGCAGGTGTTCATACCAAATATCATGTGGCAGAAAAAAACTTTAAACTTTCCGTGATTTAAAAAAATCCACTTACACCAAAAACCAGCGTTTTTTTCTCCAAATTCGATTATTTAAACAAAATTTTGCAAGGAACATATATTTCCAACTTACTCCTAACTTCTTGTTTGTTTATATATTCATACTTCGTTTAGACAGTCATTTATATATTCGAACAAACAAATTAAATGAAGTAATAATCGCACATAACAGATGTCCATGAATTTCACAATTTGTTTTATAATCCAAAAGAATATACCTAATTTTTTCAAATGAAAATCAAAACAAAACAAAATTTTGAACGTCTTCCGTATCCCTCCCTAAAATTTTAACATTTTATAGCCAATTATTAATTGCTCAACATATAAAATCGAATTGTGCGCAACGTACTCTCAAAATATTCTTTTATTTTTTTAATAATCCTGTTTACATCAAACTGTAGGCATAATGATACTTTGCAAAACAGGTCCCAGGGTTCTCGTTTAAATTAATAAAATGTATAGCTAAAAAATCAATCACATTATAATTTAAATTAATTTTTTATATATTTTATGTTAGAATTGTTTCAAAGACAGAAATTGTGTGTGTACCGTATCTTTTGAAATAACAGTGTGTTCCGTACCATTTCAACATAACTTTATGAAAATATGCTAAAACATCACTGCATTCACTTGATACATTGGACATAGTAAATATATCAGATTTAACATGTATTTTTCTATGAAATAATGTCAAAAAACATATGACTTGCTAGAAATCGCCTGTTATGCCAAATGAGTGTGTACCGTTCCCCTCGGCCCAGGCTATGAAAATAAAACTGTACTCGAATGTTCTCAAAAACCATTCAGGGGTTTTCAGAATTTTGATATACCGTGGATAACTGATATAATTACGGGTACTCTGCGCCTTATCTGATCAAAATCGGTTGAGTAATAAATAAGTTATGAATAAAAAACATACCTGAATCGGGTGAAAAATCGGCGTGTTCCGTACCCGAAAAGTCACGTGGTATGGCCACATTGGGGTTGTTGTGCTTTTAATTTTGACATTGAAACTGCAAGCGACAATGTGCTGAAAAATAGAAAGAAAAAATGTAACATATATTAAACAAAAACAATAGATCATTTCAAAGTACATGTACAAAAAAAAGAAGAAAAAAGATCAAGTTTTTCAAGCAGTTAAACTCACAGGCAGCATGCCTTGTGTGATTTGTTGTTTTTGCAGGGTTATCATGACCCTTAGAGTATATCCCTTTAATCTTGCTTTTACGGCTGATAAACAGTGCCACTTGCCATTGGCATCTTGAACATACCAGTCAAAAGATGTTTGATTTATTTCTTTTGTGAATCATTTCTTTAAAGCTTGAGTGTCGGTCATCGTATAATTTTCATATACTTGAAGGTTTGGGCGATTCGCCCAGAAGCCATGATGTTAGAGACATTTAATTTGTATTACTAATTACTAGCATATTACCTTTACGGCGTTCAAAGTAATTATAAAAAATATATTTAAATCTACACATAATTTCTACAGATAAGCGCTCCGATGATTTTTAACAATCAAATTCGCACATTTTCACACCTTTAAGACGTCAGACATTGTCTTACCTTTACTCGCCAAACACCGTAACAATTAGCAACAATTATGTATATGTCGGTGTCTTTAATCGTGTAATTAGAGAAAATTGACTGTGTCTGTGTATGGATGCTTCGTGCCGGAATCAACACCCCATACAGAACAAAGGGAAATAAGAAAATCACAACATGTTCAAACACAATAGAATAGACCTTTTCTTACAAAATATTATATTAAAACTTTAAGAAAAAAGGTATATATTTATTTCTTGGCTGCTTCTATTTCGATGCAAAAATATGGATTGGAAATATCTGGAGTTTATCTGTTTGGTTTCTAGTCATATCCATAGTCATTGCCAGA